ATTTATGTGTACCTTCTTCAGAATCATGTGCTGTGACAGGATCCTCTTTAAGATCATTTGATTTATGTGTATCTTTTTCAGAATCATGTGATTCACCATAATCCTCTTCAGAACCATGTGACACATCAGTACCCTCTTCAATATCATGTGATGCATCACGATCCACTTCATAACTCGTGTGACGTTCATGTTCTGTAGAAAACTCTTCATGTGATAAAGAAGCCTCTTTATGATTCACATGTAATGTAACAGGCTCTTCTTCACCAGAATGTTCAACAGAGTCTGATTCATTATGAGCATGGTATTCAGGAACAGTATCTCCATCACGATCATCTTTCTCTGAAGAGGCAATTTTATTTTCTGAAAGTGGCAACTCTTTGTTGTCATAAGTACCAGAAAGAAATTCTGAATCAGGTGCCTCTGTGAACTCAGAGGATTTATAAATTTCAATGTCATCTGCTTTCTCAGAACCTGGTAGTGGCAGTGAATTCAACTGACTGCTATCAGAATGAATTCCTCCACCACTCTCTAAAATTACATCATGTCCATTTTTGCTACTGTTATTGGGTAATGATGGTGAATTTTCACTATCTGTTTCTGACGAAAAACTTTCATCATATGCATAATCTGCTTCTTCTTCATCATCAGAGGACTTGTTACTTTCTTCTTCCTTATCTTCTTCATTTAATGTACTGGTATCCTGAGATTTTGAACTGTCCTTGTTTTCATATGGAACAGATGAAATTTTTAAATGTTCATTAGCAGAGCTTTCTGATTCTTTTTCATTTCCATCTCCTTGAACTTTTTGACTACTTACATTTCCCTCACCCTCCACACTATCTTCACCATCATAATTTTCTTCGGTGTGTATATCCATTTCATTTTCACTATTGACGACATCATTTTCCATATGCACCAAAGTGCTGTTCGTCATATCAGTTTGTTGACTTGGTTGGCTATTGTCAACTGGAGCTGCTGTTATTGGTTTGTTATCAAATAACCCCACAAGGTAACATACTAACAACACCATGGCCCACTGGAAATCAGCCATCTTGTCTCAAGTTGGCTATAACTGTAACAAATAATAAAATATGAGTTAATATTAAATGTTTTGAATACATTACATGCATCTGAGTGTTTCAAAATTAGGTCTTAACACTGTTCAGTAGATATGCCTTCTTTTATGTGTACATTTCACTGTAAAATAGGAAATTTATTTGTGAAAGCAGCAAATGGTTAATTATTCGAATCGACAAACTTCATTTGTCACTACCAAATTAACCAACAAGCTAGCTAAATCCATGGTACAGAGACATCTTTAAGTGATCAACAGTTATTATGTAGCGGATAAGAGATTTCTGTTATGGATTTCAAAGGTTCATCACCATATAGTTAAAAACTGGACCAAAGTGACAGCTGCTTCAATCCAGTTCACACCATGACAACCAATCCGTTTAAAACTTATTTTAACGTTATTATTACATAAAGGGCCCCAAAATGGTCACTTGCCATAAAGTTTCTGATACAAAATGTTACATAAATGTCTTATTTCTACAATACTATAACACACGTATGTGGGGAGAGGGGGACCTCATATTCTTAGTAGCGATAATGCACAATGTCAGCCCTTATCTAATCAATAGAGACATATTTGATCAAGACTTAACATATATTTGAAATATTTATGATTAAAGATAAATGTTAGGTAATATCATTGATAGTAAAAAGTAAAGTGAAGTAAAGTAAAGTTTGTCCCACTACACGCCATGTAGGCGCTTGGGGGGGAGTGGAGGTATAGCTCCTCTCTTTCTTGACCTCGGCACTAGATGGGGTGAGTGGTCAGCATCACGCCCCGGCCGGCTTTACCCCCTGGAGAGGACCCCGGTACCCATTGTAGAGGAGGCTGGGTGGGCCCCAGGGCTGGTCTGGACGCAGAGGTTAAAGAAAAAATCCTCTGCCCCCGTCGGGGATCGAACCCCGGTCGTCCAGCCCGTAGCTAGTCACTATACTGACTGAGATATCCCGGCTCATATATCATTGATAGTTACATGAGAAAATTAAGTAACATTTACTTTCCCCTTCTCCTTTTATCTATTTTGAAAACGGTATGACATTTTAAATGGCCAGTGAGTTTTGGATACTAAAATACGGCACCTGGCAATACTCACGTGTTATGCAACTTTTAGTCAGATACTACAATGAGCTGATATAGTATTCGCAGATTTGTGTGGAACATGTGTACTAATCAGTGACAGCAACATATTATTTTATAAGTTTTTAATTTGAAAGTTAAAGAAAAAACTATCTAAATGTCATAATAGAAATGAACAATTTACCCATTCCTACCTTCCTACAACTCACATAACACCCTAAATTTACAATAAAATTCATTACTGTGCTTTACCGCTGATTAACACTGGTTATACAAACGTGCGAAATCAACATCATATTCGATGTAAAATAAATTGATAGCAGATAAAACTGAGAATATGCCGCTACAGTCATTTAATTCATAAAATATAGATAAGTACAGATATAAATACTTAGGAATTATGGCAATCAATGTAAATGATATCTGAAAAGAGAATGTGAGCACATAAGAATATGTCATTCTTCCATCTCCTTCCAATGAATCTGAAGTATTATGCACTGTATATGTTGTTTTTTTGTTTTGGTATTCATATCTCTTCGTGCGTAACTCTAAGAAACTAAAATAGTTTCAGAATAAAGCACTGAGAATACACGTGGATGTAAAAGGAGGATGGAAGAATGACATAGTATGAAGGAATAAATTACATAACAGGAAGTGGAAAGAGTAAGTAAACCTAAGGGAAATAAAGTAATAAAAGGACAGAGATAGGTGTGAGTTTCCTTATTTGTATATAATGTAAGATTTGAGGTTTTCACAGCGGTGAGTATGAAGATTTCTGTCTTCTGGGTTGTTGCGCCGTGTAGTCTGGTCGATGTTTACCAACGTTTCAGAGGTCATACTGCCCCCGTCATCAGGGGGATTCATCTTTTATAGAACCTGTAAATTCATTACCATGTTCACAACAGTCAACCACTGGATCACCTCTTCAGACAGGTTAATTCAGTCCACACCTTCACGTTCCATCCTATTAAGTTCAACACCATCAATGCCTAGGTCTTGCAAGTGGTCTCTTAACTCTAAGGACCTAGTAACATTGCATATCACGCTTGTCTTAGGAGGTAAGACGAGTTGGAAGACCACCCCTTAGCGGCTATCCACATTTGCTAATGCAGAGGTCTGCGGTCCCAGGCCTGGTAGCACATATAATGTTCAGGTCTGGGCAGGGTTCGGTCTTGGTTCAAATGATATGCTTACAGAACATTTTGGGCTTTCTCAGGGCATATTTGTTCGCAAATGAAATGTTATTCGTAGTTGCATGTGATACAGTCGGGTTCCGGAAACAAATCCCATCGACTTGATTTTCGTAACTGCCCTCCATGAAACAGTTTGAGACAACACCTCACATACTCAGGATCCAAAAATATTTTGTACCATTCCTCAAACTCTAAATTATCTCAGGCGTTTTTAGAGCATCATTAAATAGTTCATCCAAGGATTACTTGCATTTATATATTAAAATAAATATGCATTAAAGACTAGATCGGGCTTCATTCGGGCTTGAATAAAAGGAAGTGTAGTTTAGGTGATGAACGGGTAACATATTTGACGACAAACTTCGGGCTTAGGATGAGTCGGGCCAGGTAAAATTCTAAAATTTATGCCCGTCCAGAGCTCTACAATATATTCCCAGCTTCGTCGTCTTCTCAATCCAGACTATGTTACACTCAGACTCTGTAATTAAATTTGTGGAAAATTTAAGCATAGACTGAGCACTGTTTGTGGAAGAATCCGCCTTATTTAACCCAGCTAGGTCAATTTCATGACTTCCAAGAATAACGAACAAGAACAGCAACAGACTGTATTGGATACGAAGTTCCCACGGTGGAGAAACCGTCGACTGAGATCCTCCGGGTTGTGACGTCGTGCAGCCTTGTAGGTGTTACAAAGAGCCGGAGAAACATTGGTTGGTGTCACAGCCCACAACACGACAATCAACAGGCAGCAAAACATTTGGAATATTATCTAAATGTAAATGTATAATTTTCTATTAAAGCACGAAAGAAAGTCCTCTAGAAGCCATAAACAGGGTATTTTTAACCTGTCCAAGGAATTCCACGTCTTATGCCAAACCCAAATGATAATTACAGTGTTCACAATAGCCTGCCATTGGACCCTATACTGAACCAGTAAAATACAGCCGGCATCCTCAAACCCTGTTAACATAGATGTAAATACTGTACCAGTATCCAAGCCTAATTCTCACACATGACATTTTCACCTTCAGGTTTTCATTCAGAAATTCTGTACGCAACCTCTTCTCCCCATGCATATTATACGCCTGACCATCTAATCATCCTAACCTTGATATTTGGTTAAATGTGCCAAAATATTATGCTCTTCGTTACCCTGTTTTCTCCATTCTCCTGTTACAGTTTTCCACGTATAAGATAAAAAATCACTGCGCAATACTATGTGGTATATATTAAGATATAAGTATCAAATAATTTCACAGAATTCCGACGCAATGAAATTCTTATCTATCGTACGTGGTTATTTGACGAAGTCCTCTTAAACAAACACACAGCTTCATTGTAATATAATTTCGCAGGAATAAAACTGGCGTAAAATACTTCTATGTGGCGCCAAAGTAAATACGTCAGTTTCTTGCGAAACAGTATCTACGAAAATTGTCAGATAACAGAGTGCGGTATTTTTATTCAATTCTGTATACTGTGAGCATTTCCATTGGAAAATATTAATTAGAATTACAAGGAAATTACTGTCGACAAAATTTCCACTCTTCGCACAAGATGAAGGGATCAGGAGACCCTACTTTACGTGGACGTCAAAGCAAATTTTCTCAGATTTTCTTAACAGCTCATCGAACATAACATTGAGACATTACATAAAATATAGACATCATGAAGGACGATGTTTATTTTAAATTTTTTTCTGAAAGGCAGGTATTTAAGGAAACACAATTAACCCTTTCAAGCCGAGTGGTAAATATATATTCCACCTGTTTTAACGATCAATAAGTCTGCATACCAACGTTTAGGAGAAATATACCGCTTCCATCTTCAGTACTAAATAATTTGGTTTTAGCAGTGTTGAATCTGTGGATTCTAATATCAGCATTAGGCCTTATTATTTTCCATGTAAACATAACCTTAGAACAGGCCCCTACAGCTTTATCTTCAATTCGTTATCGTCCCAGGTCTACAAAGCCGACACTTGATATTCATCTAATAACACAGGCCGACAGAACAAATAAAACGTACAAGAAGAATAGAGTAATCCCTGGGTCTTTAAAGCAGCAAGCCATTAAGACGTAGAGGGGAACAAAGCTAAAACTCCATGCATTCTCGAATTCGGCATTAGATGTAACCGCTTTACCGCCGTGGAAATTGCTCCGAGTATCCATTGTTTTGGAGGCTGGGAGGGTTCCAGGGCCGGTATAGACTGGGTGGCGAAAAGAAAATATCTGCCCCTGCAGAGAATCGAGCCACGGTCATCGAGTCCGCAGCCTCGTCATTGTAGGAAGGTACATTAATGATGACAAGACAAATCTGGCGAAAGGCTATGGGGTTACAGGTCTTCTGATCACTGCAGGGAACGGAAAGGAATCGGTCTTTAACAGCGTAATTTACGAACGAATGCGCAGCGATGCACGTTGTTTACTGACACTGCGAGTCACAAAAATTCTCATTGGCAATAACCAATAACTAAGCCGTACGATTGGCACATCGATACAAGAACATACACTTCTTTTGCGTACGTGTTCAGAGGTTCTTAGCAAAGGTGCGATATTGGCCACACATAAATGACATCCAACGTGAAGTTACCATATCTGGCCTATATCACATATCGAATAAAAGTTATTGCCAAAAATAGTATTATAAATTTTGTTCTTAAACGGATAAGGAAATCCTTTATATTAAATTAGTGTAAAGACATGAAATTAATCCTTCCCCGTATAT